TCAAATTCCAACTATGAAGTGCATTTTAGTTTTTCTTTTTTTTACTTGGAATTGGAAAAGTCTGATTTACGAGTTCAACTGGAACACACCTTTAAGAAACAAGTCTGGGTTTGCACAATATATTGGTAATTTCTTTCTTTCTTTTGGCTGCTTCCTTCTTCACGGGTCGCCATAGCGAGCAAACTCGCACGAAGATTTGGCAATTGTTTTTACGCCAGATGCCCTTCCTGATGCAACCACCAATCATCGAGCTACTGCCATTCAAGGCACCTGAGGAGCAACTGAGGGGGGTTAAGGGCCTTGCTCAAAGACCCACAGATGGGCAAATAAGGGTGGAGGCAAGTGTTAGACACTTCACTTTTCCCACCCAAAATTTTGGTGCAACAGTCCAGGTATTTGAACTTGCAACCTCTTGATCACAGGCTTGCCTTTAACCTCTGCACCACCACTCCTCAAATTGGCAATTTCTTGTTATTGCAATATAATTGAATGCAATACCAATTCTAGAAAAGATGCTTGAATGTAGACTGCTATATTGTATCTTCTATTGAGGTGGCTTCTGCCAATAATCAATCAACCTTTATTTATACAGGTAAATCCCATTGAGCCTCGAGGACTCATTTACAAGAGAGACCTGAAAACCAATAATAGAGAGACCTTCTGCCAATAATATGTTGGTCCAGTCAGCTGACTGCTCACACCCACTTTAACTGGTAGTGTCTAAAATATTAAGACACAGAGTGTTGAGTACAACATAGATCACCACTATTACTAATATAAAGCGGTCATAAACTAGTTTAAAGCTGCATAATCAATAAATAAATAAATATTTAAAAGGGGAAAACTGTCATATTGCCGGTAAATGTATGTCATTTCCACTGCTCAAAGTATTTATTTTGTGCTGGTAAACGCAAATACCATAATGTGCACAGCAGAGAAATGTATTAACCCAGTAGTTATACAGTTGGGACCTTCCAAAGGATTGTGCATTAAAAAAAAATACTATGGTTGGATTGTAACATTGGTTGCATTGGTTTATTGTCTTTGAGGTTCTGGAGCTAGAGGAAGGCAGCCACATCCTCTCAGTCATGGTGTTTTACTCCACTGTGCTCATGTTTCAATGACAACAAACAAACATCAATCATACTTGCCTACAGCTGCCTCCCACAGACTTCTGGTGAATGAGGAGCAGCTCAACAAGATTTCAAGAAGAAAAAGGTTTCAGGAGTGATCTGGGACAAAACGGTGTCAGCAAAGGCCAAAGAAAAAGTTTACAAGACAGTGGTGAGACCAGCTGTGTTGTGTGGTCTGGAGAGAGTGGCACTGACAAAAAGACAGGAGACAGAACTGGAAGTAACAGAAATGAAGATGTTGAGGTTCACCTTAGGAGTGACAAGGATGGATAAGATTAGGAATGAGATCTTGGGAGATACAGCACAGTTTGAACTGGGAGATAGAGAGGTCAGACTGAGATGGTTTGGACATGTCCAGAGGAGGGACAGTGGGTATATTGGTAGAAGGATGTTAGAAATCCAGCTGCCAGGGAAAAGACAAAGAGGAGAAACATGGATGCAGTTGGAGAGGACATGGAGGTAGTTGGAGTGAGGACAGAGGGAGATGGAGGATGACTCGCGGTGGCAATCCTTGAAGAGGGAAAAGCAGAAAGAAGAAGAAGAGTTCAATATAAATTCTTAAGTCACTTGTTAAAATGGTGCCCTAATCTCTTGTATATGTACATGCACTCAGCCTTTTTAATGCCTATTGGTTAATCCTGTTTAAATTTCTGATTGGGTTTGTTGTAGTTCTGTTTCATACTTCCAGTATTAAGAGGCAGGTCATTTCTGATGGCCCCGATGAATGTCACAAGCAAAAAACATTTACTAAACAGTTTTACTGTCCTATGTACAGCTTGTGTCGCTGCAGGTTTGACCTCTGTGTGTGGAAATACACCAAGCAAGTCTGAGCAAACAAGACTGAATCCAACATTCAGACTGCTGGATTGAAGATTACTTTTATCTTCCTGGTGATAATAATGTGTTGTGCTTTTTTTTTTAGTAAGCACGACACCAATTCTACATTTCAGTGACTTCAGTCACTTTCTATCTGAAAACCACAGCAGCATAAAGTCTGTCATTAGCCTCAACATGTCAACTCTTATTTAGCAACTTCTTGGAATAATGGAAAGGCAGGAGGATAAGGAGTGTACTTCCACAGTTCATTTCCTCTTTGATAAGAACATGTCTTTCGGTGACAAAGGAAAATCAAATGAATTTGCAAGAGTCCCTTTTAGGGCGGTTAATATACGGAAATAGCATAACTTAGAAAGTACACACTTTTTAGTGAGTTTGTAAATGAAAATTGTTGCATGAACCTTGTTTGTTAGAGTATAAGTGTAATATCAACCATGGGTATTATTTCTTTGAGACTGCAACTTTTATACTGCATGATGTTACATTCAAACTAGGGCTGGGTGATATGAACCAAAATTAATATCTCGATAATTTAAGCTAGATCGTGATGTATGATTTTTTTTCTTTCCATAAAGTAATAACAAAAATATATTTCTGAGTCAAAGCGTTGTACCAGTTGTCACACAGGCACATTTATTAGCCAACAGCTGTAACTGTACAAAATAAATATCTACAAAATAAACTATTTGCACATATTAAAGTTTGTTTTTTTAGACATTTATTTACATATACTAAATGATAATCCTCCCCAGCTGCGCGATTACGAACAATTTTGCGCTGCAAAATATCGATTATGGCTCGTAAGTTTACAGAATTTAACAAGATGAACACCTAAAAACTGGTTTGCTCGAGATTATAGCAAGAGCGTGTCTTCATTTAACTTTTCTTGAGCAAACAAATAATTGTTTTTATATTTTCATTTGGTTAAATTCTGTAAACGTGCAAGCCATAATTGATATTTGGCTGCTCGTAATCGATCTTTGGTAGGCAGGCTGCAATGAAACTTTTTTGAACATTAAAGTGAATTCATGAAGGAAAAGTTAAACTGAGACACACCTTTGCTATAATAATTATTATTATAATAATGTCATCACTGTATGTTTCCATACAATGGCGAAATTAGTCTCTGCATTTAATCCATCCACCACCAGGTGGTGCTGGGGGGCATTCTGGGGATGAGGTGTGCTGCCCAGAGACACCACGAGGTGACCTGGGATCGAATCAGGTCCCGGGCCGGCTGCCCTGCCTCTACACCATCTCAGTGAGGGAGAGGAGGGGGGCCGCGTGGGAGAAAGAGAAGCAGCAGGCAGATTTTCAAGCACAACACTATATTGTTTATATAAATATAGTCTCATATTATATCACAAATTAAATTATATCAATATTTTTTAAATATCGAGATATCGCCCAGCCCTAATTCTAACTTTTATTTGATTGAAAAATTGCTTCCATCAAAATGAGCATGTGTGGACACCAGAAGCTTATTCCAACATCCTAATTCTAAGTACTCTTTAAATAAACAGACTGGAGGATATTTTTTTTCCCACTCAAATGTTTTGATGCATCCAGATGTTTTGAATGTCTAAGTGTCTTGTGAAGGAAGTACTTGAAGAATCTAAACCGGAGCAAAGTGACAGAAAAAGGAAAAGACGCCACATCAATCATGTTGTGCTGCTCTAAATGTCAGCAGTCCACATAGTGAACATTAAAAGCATAAATCAAATCTAGGAACAAGAAAAGTAGAGTTTAACGGAGAAAATTCTTTAAATTTTTACTTTACATTTTAGATTCATATGAGCTATAACACAATAAATATTCAAATTCAAATGTTTTGCATCCGCACGATAAATAAAAATAAACTAAACTTTTTAAAAAACATATGATGGTTCTAAAAACAAGCCCGTTTCTAAAACCGACGCTGTTAGCACAAAAAAACTCAATTAAGTACCATTTGTAAGAAGAAAACACTCGTTTCTTGGGTGATTTAGTTGTAATTTCCTTGTGTTATGAAACCAAAATGTCTGATGTTTCATTGTTCATCCATTACTCAAACAGCCCAGATTATATGCAGAATGGGACTATTTTCAGATGGTTTTCCCAGGATTGAAGCAAACAAACGCCTTTCTCCTTTGATGTGGAGTTGGTATGTCAGGATGAGCAAAGACGACGGAGTTGGGCCATCGACATGTTTTACAGCTTAGAAAGTATGCGCGCTTTGCCTCCATTTGTCTCCGTCTGACACACGAGAGCTGCTCTTCACTCACTGGAAATATAACTGCCTAATAATTCACCTGAGTTTGAGCACATAGGTGGACTGTTTTTTCCTTACAAGTAAAAACAGCTAATCGCCTGTTTGTCATTTCTAATGCATTGTGCATTCTTATTTATTTGGTACTGTTAGACTGAACATGATGGAGGAACAAACATCAAGTAAGCTCCCAGCAGAAAATATGCGGCAAAAATATAAAACCATTTTAATTAACAAGGCTGGTCCTCATCAGTTTTGAACTGAGAGACTTCTGCTCGTTGAAAAAATAATCCTTATAATTAAGCTCTCTGTTCTGCCTAAGCTGACATGATTTAGGGTTTAGCTCTGGGTTATTTCTTCATTTCCTTGAATTCCTACCACTTTTTCTTGCCTTGTGTTTTCTGTGCATCTCAAGCCTGTGCATGTTTTTTTTTATTTCTTAGTACTGTTGTGTGTGGAATATAATGTTGGTGTAGACCTGTGCACCTTTTCCTAAATGCATTACCCAACACACCAGCTCCACACCCTCCATTCTATGCTTTCATCTCTTGTCTATTCAAATATCTCAACTTAAATTTCACTTTTCATCCTGTTTGACTGCTCCTCAGCTTTTACTTCTCCTCCCCTCACTCCGCCTGCAGCAACAGGTTTCTGCGACTCCTCTCCGATGTACCTCTCACTACCGGAGTCTGACCCATCTACAATTCCACCACAACAGACTTCCATCTCTTTTCTAATGTCTGTAGAGTCTCTCTAAGAACTTGTGCGTGTAAAACCTTTACCTCTGTAGAGTCAGGCTGAGGTTGCCTGTGCAAGCCTTAATCTTGTTCTGGGCCTCAAGATGATTCATGCGTTCTGAGGAAATCCCATTTATAGAAAGGATGATGTCTCCGATGCTCATCCCAGCTTTAACCGCCTTGCCCCCTTCGGTCAGCTGCAATGACAGAAAAATATTTGAAAAGTTAACATTCCTCATAAAAGAAACAGTTTATTTAATCACACGCAGTTGCATTTGTTTTTCTTCGTGGGTTCGATGAAACGTGGGTTGAACCACTTTGTTACAATGTTTCACCAAGTCATTCCACAGAAAATGTGGTGTATGCATCTTTGCCGTCTCATTTCTTGTAATCACCAAGAATTGTGCTCTCTTTCCTGTTTCCTGTCTTAAGCAGGCCTTATCAGGAAAAATAAACATCCCCCCGCCCCACCACACACCACCACCACCACCATATTGACATCTCAGCATTAGTGGAACAGGACACTGCATTTGCTAAAACTGTTTCTCCACGAAAAGTCAAAGATTCATAACAAACAATAAATTAATACCTGTTTGGTTTCAAGGTTTACACTATTTTAAAAAGTCAAATATAAAACTTACATTTTGTTCTCAGCCTTTCTTTTAAAATTTGACTGTATCTGGCTTCACCTCTTCTTGTTTTAAGGCAGCTTTCCATGCAATTTAGTTTGGATCTGACCACACTAAAATTACTTCTTTGTGTATAGAGATTAGGCCTGTCACGATAACAAATTTTGCTAGGCGATTAATTGTCTCAGAAATTATTACAATAAACGATAATATTGTTTGAAATTTGACTAATTAGTCATTATTGTCAAATTTGAGAAGAAATTATGGTTAATTTGTTTTGAGTGTAGTAGCTTTTTTTGACTAGTGTACGGCAGTATAAAACTGTTTGAACTGAAGGATGGATAGTGAGGGAGCGAGCAGCGTGTCTCTTAAAGAAAAATGGGAGGGAGTCCCCTTGACATGACATGGGCTGCCTCTCTTTCCTTTTTTCGGTTCTCAAAATGGTGGACGCTCGGTGTGGTTTGAGCTCTTTAGCATAGCATTTTTCACATAAAGCTTTGAATAAAAAATTAGTAAACAAGTTCTCAGCTTCTTTTTGCAGAGAAAAACAACTTTTTACACAAAGGCACAGGTTTCAATCGCGAATTTTGGAGCATCGACAAGACGGAGGTTTTTTCCACCCAAGGTCGACCTGTTAGCTTAGCTCGTAGCTTAGCTTCTCAGCTTAGCTGCTTTTAATGATCCAAAAACACAATTTTGAACAGTTAAAATGGCTTTTATAGAGAAAAGAGAAAGGGGGGGGGTCAGTGAAGAGCACCAGAGTTTAACTTTTTATCATCCAGTGTCTTCAGTAGAAAGAGAAACATGAAGAAACGATAAAGCGGATAAATGAAAATGAGGTCAATAATTTTCATTTATCATGCGATTAATTGACTTATTGTTTATCACGACAGGCCTAATAGATACAATGAAAATAGTTGTTTACTGCACAATAAATCCAAAAATACTGCACAATATTATCAAATGAATTATAAAGAGTGTAAAATAGGTCATTTAAGGTTACAAATGATAAATCCTGCAGTGTGCATACTCATTGTAATCCAACAGCAGAATTTTGTGCTTTAAACTCCACAACCAAACATTAAACATGCGAGTACAGGTCCATTACAAATAAGTACATAACTTAGTATAATCTTATCTTGAACAAGATCAAATAGCTTCATGTTGAAACACTGAACACATTACACACTTAAATAAATGAGCCTTATTCACTTCATTTCATGGAAGAAGTTTATTTTACCTGTTAATATCACACTGATAAAAATAAAAAAATTAAAAAAACACAATTTATCTGTCAGCAGTTGTGATGGATTTTGTACATTTTCCAAAGCAAATAAAAAGTGAGAAGCTCATAACTTTTAAGTATGCGTGATATATAAAAAAAAGCCAAAGAACCATGTCACGCCCGGTGGAGATTATGAGAGTAACAGCGAGCTCTTAAAAGTGTCTGAGGTTAATCAGGTCTTCTGTCTTTTTTCACCTTGCGGAGATGTGCATTTAACACAAAGAGGAGCATAATTAAACCACGGTGATGGGATGGTTCTTTCCCAAGCGTGATGACTGATCAGTGATTACGCAAACCTGAACCCACCCCATCAATCACTCAGCACACGTTTAACATCTGTACTCTGTTACCAGCTGACAAAAGGACTGCTCACTCCTTTACACAGTCTTCTACAATCAGAACTTGATGCCATCTTTTAATATTACTCCATGAAAAGGGTTTTATTATGTCTACACATTTTTAAAAGTTGAACAATGTAAGATTAAAAAAAAAATAAATAAAATAGAGTTTTACAATCAAACTTCAGCTTTGCAGATTTCTTCAGTTCTTCTTTTCCGTTATCTTCAATCTGTTCTCTTTAGTCCCACACAAAAATAGTTTCACCCAGCTCTGAGTGAAACTATTTTTGTAAACCAAAACTAATACAGACAGAAAAACAAAACAACCAGGAGATCTCCTTTCCTCACGGCTAAAGAATGCATTCAGGTTAGGTAACACTTAAGTGCAGCCATTGTCCCTTTGTGTTTACATTCATCACAACCAAATAGAGAAAAATAATGGAAAGGAGAAGGAGAAAGAATGAGGAAGTGACTGCATCAGTGGCAGTGGCCGCCACATTTTTCTGGAGTCAGACTTCCTTTCTCTCATTTACAACTGGATAGAGTGGCAGGAAGTGCAGAGTGCAAAGCCGAGACTGATGTATGCATACCAACATCTAAGACGTCTATAGTGCAGCCACATGCCAAGTACCACTCACAAAAGGTCGGGTACTCGCTGCATACAGACATGAGCTGCAACTGAATCACTTGTTAAATTTGTGACACACCTGACAGCATTTACTCAGTCTGGTGTACTTTCAATAAAGCAACTAAATGCTATTAAGTGCAATAAAGTGGTTTTAAGAGCACTAGAATGATCATCTGCCTCTTAATCCCACTAAACAGCTTCATGGATCAACTGAAGAGAAAAGAGGCTTTTATACAGAGCCTGGTAAATTTGTTGGTCTCCTTACTTGCTGAAACAATGCTTCGATTCCCATCAAAAGTACCACTAATTCAGTTATGTATTAGGGATGCATGATATTGGATTTTTGGCCAATATCCAATGTGCCGATATGTTAAACTTATTTGGCTGATAACCAATACCAATACCGATATTTTCCCCTAGACCTGCTTACAGAGACTACACAGCTTTCTCTACTGTGGAATTAAAATACATTATTCTGCATGGTCTTTGTCACTTTGACCTGCTACCAAATGCAGATGCCAAAAAGGGGACTGAAAATTATTTAACACTATATAAATATATAATATATATTTTTAAAAAACAGCGCCTTTCATACCGGGGAGTTATTTTGATGGAATGGCCGATGTCCGATATTTAACTTTATCGCTAATATCGGCCGATACCATGCCGATAATATTGTGTATCCCTATTATATATAGTTGCATGCTGTTAGTATGTAATAGGAATGTGAAAATAAATAGTTTGTCATTTTAAAAGAAATCTGTTAAAATAGTATGAATAGATTTGTTGGTACATTTAAAAAGACTGTATTCAACTTTAATTAGTGCCTTTAATTGTTTCATAAGACATTCAGCTTATGTGAAGAGAACGAACATGTCACTGGGTAGTTTGGTATCATTGTGTGCACCACTTGAACATGAAACAGAGAAAACAAAGGCTAGAGCTGTCTAAGGAGCTCAGACATTTTAAATATCCAAGGGCACAGCTAACCAAAAGTTAGCTTCACTAATCCCTAATTCACCAACTAAAAAAAGTTTGCTTTGCTAATACTACACCGCTAAACAGATTGTTTTTTTTAATTGTGGAAGCTAACTCGAAGAGGTCAAGATGGGGTAGAGGTAGGGCAGCCGACTTGGGAGCAGAAAGTCACGGTTCGACTCCGAGCCATTCCCACACGCCGTGGCGTCTCTGAGCAAAACACCTAATACCCAATTTCTCCCCGAGCACTTACATAGCTGCCCACTGCTCCTCCTGGGAGTATCTCATGTGTGATGGGTTAAATGTTGAGAACTAATTCCTCTGTTGTATGGGAACATACAATGATGACAATCTCAAACTTCCCTTCCCTAAAGTGCAATCTTTTCCCATACACTGCTGTCGCTGACACTGCAAGCATCATTTAAGTGAACACAACTCAAAACAGTTCATAAATCATAATTTGTGATTCACAAGTAAAGCATCCAGGTTCTGTTCAGAGGTGAGCTTCCAGAAATGAATCCGGTCCATCGGAACCAAAGAGGCAGAGCAGAACTCTGCTGTGCTGAAGCAGAGTGATGTATTCAGTGTGTGTCGGACTTCTCCCTTGTGTCATTCACTATAATGAATTAACTCACTTTGGCAATCCTCTTTGTGGTTAACTATTTTTATAAATTACCTACAACGTTGCTATGAGTCATCATCAATATTATCTTGGTAATACATCTGTATTAAAATAAAGATGTGTGAAATCATGTGTGACAGTGTCCCAGAGACAGTGAGCATTGCAAGCATGCTTGGTAGGAATAACGGGTGCTATGTTTCTAACTATTCACAATGTTTCCGAGTGTAAAACCAGGTTTTTCATGTTATTTTCTTGTTCTGGTTTGGTATGGCATTTATGTTAAAATCTCTATTATTAGCTGTAAACTGACCCCATGAGTCAGAGACTATTTGTGTAAGGTATGAGGGGGTTAAAAAAAAAAAAAAAAAACACTGTGATGTTGGTGACATCACCAACAGGTGCCTATATTTGCTTAGCTTGGCATAGCATAGCATCGCACTATGTAAATCACCATTCTCATATACGCTGTTAGTGTGGAAAACGGTCTTTAAAAAAAGCATAGGGGACCTGAATTTACTAGATTTAAATTTAGCAGAAACCATTTCCACTAAAGGTATTTAAAGTTTGCAAAAACATTTGCTAAACGGAAAGTTAGTTCTGCTATTAGTGGATTAGCCAAACCGTGCCTATCACTGTACTGTATATATCTACTGCATGTTAAAAAGATAAATACTACAAGATCATCTCCAAGCAACTTCATGTTCCTCTAACCACAGG